GTAGCCTTACTGTATTTATATATTTACTATTTGGATTCTTATAGTACTTGTAAACTATATTTTATTACAAAATTGTACCCGAGTCTTTAATATCAGAAATGTAAAAGCATCTATGTGAATAATTCAGTAAACTGGGCAGAATTTCATCCACTCAGAAAAGTAGCTGCACTTCAAAAGTACAATTTAGACAGTTTCAGAGATCTAATAATGATAATAAAGAAAATTCTCAAAAATAGTACTTTAATATTTCACAGCTTCACATGTCTGCTTTTTAACCCTCTGGTATGACAACTCCAAGTAATTTCTTATGGTAATCATGGCAGTTGTGTTCAATAATTCTGAGTATTCTTGATGTGTTTTTGTGTTTGTCTTCAGGTTGCATGTATCGGGGTCAGGACTGTCGGTTGGTCATTCACTATGAGCGAGGTTTCTCTGTTATAGCTGATGGAGAGGACAGCTCTGTGGCACAGCCTCTCTTCAGTTACCCGTTTGAAAAGCTGAAGATGTCTGCTGATGATGGAGTACGGATCCTCGATTTGGATTTCGGCGGGAACGAGGGTGAAATTGTGAGTAAAATTTGAGGTTCCTTCAGCACCAACAAAATTAGTCATCCATGATGAGTGCTGTCATGGGGCAATTTTGCTATTATTTAAATTAGATTCAAAAAAATAATTAGCTACTAATCTTTTCATAGATAAATTTACCTGATTCAAAACTGAAAATAAATCTGATTCAATCTGAGTCATTTGCATCAATGTTCATGGATGTCTTAGTGTGGCATTTTTCATGTTTATTAAAAATATAGTTAGGTAAATATTGCCTTTTATTACTCTGTGTGTGAGTAATAAAAACACACACACACACACACACACACACACACACACACAGAGTAATAAAAAGCAATATTTACCTAACTATATTTTTAATAAACATGAATAAAACAAAGAAGGGGAAAAAAACTGTTTTCAACATTTTCATGTTTATTAAAAATATAGTTAGGTAAATATTGCTTTTTATTACTGTGTGTGTGTGTGTGTACACACACACACACACACACACACACACAGAGTAATAAAAAGCAATATTTACCTAACTATATTTTTAATAAACATGAATAAAACAAAGAAGGGGAAAAAAACTGTTTTCAACATTTTTCTTGAGCACCAAATCAGCATGTTCGAATGATTTCTGAAGGATCATGTGACACTGAAGACTGGAATAATGGTTGTTGAAAATTCAGCTTTAACATCACAAATAAATTACATTTTTAAAATATATTCAAATAGAAAATAGTTAAATTATTTTATATTTCACATTATTGCGTTTTTTTTACTGTACAAAATCTTACCAACTCAAACTGTTAAAACAGCAGTTGTATACATGAATATGAATATAAATGAATATATATATTTTATTTAGTTGCACTACAAACATTTTATTTATTAAATATTGTATATCTATTTTTAGCCGTATCACCCATTCATAGGTGAAATTCTTCAGCACAGGAAATGATGCATGTCTGTACCAATAGACGGCTCATCTCTGGAAGTTCTTGAGAAGGCCTGTCTGATCATGATTGCTTTTCTCAACATGTGTTTGTCCCATCAGGCACTTCCCTTCTTTGCTTAATACTTTTTGTTTTTTTCTATTCACAGCAACTTGACTTGCACTCCTGTCCCAAGCCCATTGTTTTTATCCTCCACTCCTTCCTATCTGCCAAGATTGCAAGATTAGGATTGGTAGCCTGAGATTGAACTGTTATAGACTGAAACAGTGACATGATTATTCCAAAATGCAGAAGGGAAAACCGGAACACAGTGGAACTCGCTAGACTGACCGAGGGCGATGACGCAGAACTGACGCTGTAGCAAACCGGACCACTGAATGATTTTAAATTACATTTCAGTAATGATAAACTATGTATTTTTCAGAGAAATATTAATTATAGTGAAACAATTTCACATTGATTTCCTAAGAACAAAAATCTATGTAATGAACACTAATTTGTGATTGGAACTAAAAAATACTGGAAGTATTATTTTAGAATCCAATACAGCAGAGTATTCAGCATTTACAATGCCATTAACTTCTATATAATGTTAGGAGGGAAGGCGTCCATCTGTATGACAGCTGTCTATAATTACATTTGTCTGGCAGCTAATATGGATTAAAGAAAGGCTAGTTTAAACCGGATTAATGCACATAAAAGTTAAACAGCCTGAAAACAGTCATCTCGTTTAGTTTCTGGTGCTGTGCGTCACTGATTGTTGAAGCAAAATCAACAGGAACATTCTAGAGTGCCGGTCATCAAAGAGGCATGTCAACAAACTGTCTGCTTTCACAAGGCCTTTGTGACAAAAGGGGAAAATCGAGACAGGGTCAGCCCTCCCCTTCAGAACTGTATGTTTCCACAGACAAATGGAGTTTCGGTGACTTCTACAAACGTCTCGCTCATAAAATCTGGAGTCCTGACTTCTGACATGCAAAAGAAATCTTTAGTAACGCCGTCACATTTGTGTAGTTGTTTTTAATATTCATCAGAAGGATGTTCTCCTTTCACACACTAGCACAACAACTATTGTGGAGGCTCAAATTTGCTCTCATTGGCCTGTGGTCATATTTAGCTTCACTGTGCAAACACACAAAGGCCATTGAAGAACTTTGGATGTCAGATTATAAATTAGAGCAATTGAGAGTTTTCAAGTTAACCAGCAATTAGTGTCCATTGTCGGGCACTGAGCGTTCCCAGAGTACTGATCCACTGTAGGGGTTATGGATTTGGGGACAGCAGGGCCCCTGTAGCACAGCCTTTGTCTCATCTGTGAAACCATCCCTGCCACATTCCAGCACACATGACAGATCCAGGAGTCATGGGGCTGAGAATCAATTTTCAAAATGAAAGGGATAGTTTACACTAAGATGAAAATTGTGTCATAATTTACCCAGCCTCTACTTGATCGGAACAAAAAAGATATTTTGAAGAACGATTCTACCCAAAATATGTAGAAGTCAATGGGGTCCAACAATTTTCCAAGCTTCAAAAAGGGATAGTTTACACTAAGATGAAAATTGTGTCATAATTTACCCAGCCTCTACTTGATCGGAACAAAAAAGATGATATTTTGAAGAACGATTCTACCCAAAATATGTAGAAGTCAATGGGGTCCAACAATTTTCCAAGCTTCAAAAAGAACATAAAGGTAGTGTGAAATTACGCTGTGTTCATGACTTATTTTTGAGTGAACTTTTTTTGTTATACAAAAATCATATGCAGGATATGTGGAGCACAGGTGCTACACACATCTAGGAGCGGCACAAGGTTTGACCGACTCTTCCGTATTTCACTCATCATTAGTTCTACTGTTTAGGAATAACGCTATTCACACTTCCTCGTTTTCAGCTTAAGTTTCAATAAATGGTTACTGGGGAGGAAGTTTCAAGTTCTGAAAATCTCAGCATATTTTCATAGTACAATGAACACTTCTGAAAGGTTCAAGGAAAATTTGATTCCTCATGATATGGACCCTATTATATCAAGATGTCAGCATGCAGAACAAAGTGAGATGCTTAAACACACTAGAAAAGACTTCAGGTCTAAAAACAAGTCTACAGTTTAACAGTTTACCCAAGTTTCAGCTTGGGAAAAATGGTGTATCACAACTTATCAAAATAAACTAAAACCCTATTAAAAACATCGGTTTTGTTCAATATCATAACATTGGGTTCCACCATATGAACTAGAGCAGCTCTGCTGATAAGCGAGTGAGCTCAGATTGCATATTGCCTTCGAGGGCTCTCAGGGTTGACAATGTTATGTGCAGCCCCCTCCCTCCTTTTCCATCACCCCTCTGGGCACCCAGCAGTGAGAACAATGGCCCTGTGTGGGACTGGAATGTGTCTGGTGGCTTTGCCAAACAAGGCACCCTCAACTTTCTCTGGGCAAGGAGTACCAGGGAGCAGTTACTCTTAATGACCTCAGCCCAATGCGACCTGATCCCAACACAGAAGTAATTTTAGGGCAAACTACTTGCAGCGGTAGTTTAGTGCTGATAGCTTATGTGTGATCAACGAAAAAGAAAAGATGAGGGAATGATGAGGTTTTGGAAAAACAGAGTCGAGACTCTCGTGTGTTCCTTGTTTCATGCTCGAGTGGTGATTCAAGCGAACTGATCACTGAAATACGATCTGGACAGAAATGCCCTCTGACTGATTTTCATGATGCAAAACAGCATTTCTCAGAAAACACATGGCTATATTTGGCTGTTGTTTGTCAGAGTCAGACACTCAGTTTGAGTGTTCATGATATACCATATAAAACCAAATAAAATAATATTTTAATACATTAAAATATGATTATCAAACACATAAAAAAACAATATAGAAATAATCAAATGCATGCCTCCTGTCAGGAACAGTTCTATAATTAATGCTGTGAGAAGTTCTATAGCATTAGAAGCTCTTTTCTACTACAAGCTCCATCCATTTACTTTGTGGCATCATGTTGTTGTTCTTACGACTGTGTCCTACTGCAGGTTTACCTTCAATGTTTCCAACTAAAAATTAAGTCATCTTTTAGATGATTTCTCCACAACCCAATCAATCACCTGTGGATGAGAACATAGGAGCGGCACAAGGTTTGACCGACTCTTCCGTATTTCACTCATTAGTTCTACTGTTTAGGAATAACGCTATTCACACTTCCTCGTTTTCAGCTTAAGTTTCAATAAATGGTTACTGGGGAGGAAGTTTCAAGTTCTGAAAATCTCAGCATATTTTCATAGTACAATGAACACTTCTGAAAGGTTCAAGGAAAATTTGATTCCTCATGATATGGACCCTATTATATCAAGATGTCAGCATGCAGAACAAAGTGAGATGCTTAAACACACTAGAAAAGACTTCAGGTCTAAAAACAAGTCTACAGTTTAACAGTTTACCCAAGTTTCAGCTTGGGAAAAATGGTGTATCACAACTTATCAAAATAAACTAAAACCCTATTAAAAACATCGGTTTTGTTCAATATCATAACATTGGGTTCCACCATATGAACTAGAGCAGCTCTGCTGATAAGCGAGTGAGCTCAGATTGCATATTGCCTTCGAGGGCTCTCAGGGTTGACAATGTTATGTGCAGCCCCCTCCCTCCTTTTCCATCACCCCTCTGGGCACCCAGCAGTGAGAACAATGGCCCTGTGTGGGACTGGAATGTGTCTGGTGGCTTTGCCAAACAAGGCACCCTCAACTTTCTCTGGGCAAGGAGTACCAGGGAGCAGTTACTCTTAATGACCTCAGCCCAATGCGACCTGATCCCAACACAGAAGTAATTTTAGGGCAAACTACTTGCAGCGGTAGTTTAGTGCTGATAGCTTATGTGTGATCAACGAAAAAGAAAAGATGAGGGAATGATGAGGTTTTGGAAAAACAGAGTCGAGACTCTCGTGTGTTCCTTGTTTCATGCTCGAGTGGTGATTCAAGCGAACTGATCACTGAAATACGATCTGGACAGAAATGCCCTCTGACTGATTTTCATGATGCAAAACAGCATTTCTCAGAAAACACATGGCTATATTTGGCTGTTGTTTGTCAGAGTCAGACACTCAGTTTGAGTGTTCATGATATACCATATAAAACCAAATAAAATAATATTTTAATACATTAAAATATGATTATCAAACACATAAAAAAACAATATAGAAATAATCAAATGCATGCCTCCTGTCAGGAACAGTTCTATAATTAATGCTGTGAGAAGTTCTATAGCATTAGAAGCTCTTTTCTACTACAAGCTCCATCCATTTACTTTGTGGCATCATGTTGTTGTTCTTACGACTGTGTCCTACTGCAGGTTTACCTTCAATGTTTCCAACTAAAAATTAAGTCATCTTTTAGATGATTTCTCCACAACCCAATCAATCACCTGTGGATGAGAACAGCATGTGCATAAAACATTTTCCATTGTATCAATTTTGAGGGCATCTTATGAAAATGAGTAACTCAAAATAAAACTACATAACTAATTTCTCATTTTTATCAACTCAGGTCATGTCAAAATACAGCAAACTGAAGTACGTGCTTTACCTGTTTGGCGTTGTTACTGGCTGCTTTCTTCATTTCCTCATGTAGGCCACGTGAGGTTTTCAGATCCTGTTGTAAAACAAACACAGGTTGCTGAGGCATAACGGCTCGGAGAAGAGCATTGTGCAAGCTAAACTTTGCTAATGCATTATTACATGTATGCATACAATACTTACACTACCATTCAAAATACTAGTTAAGTAAGATTTTTATATGCTTTTTTTAAATATACTTTTATATGGTAATGTACGCAAATGCTCTAAATGTATTTATGCATAAATGTGTTTTGAGTTTGACTATTGCGTACTGTTATGAGAATTAATTTTAAACAAAAATATGAACGTATGTATATTTTCTCTAATAATTAATAAACTTAAAAGTTAACATATCCGTGACAAGTGAAACGTCAAAACTCACAACCATGAGCACATAATACCACCCATGTTTACACGGAATATCAACGTCTCTTCAGTATCCATCAACTTGCTGGTAAGTGAAGGCGAGCCTATCATAACAGAGGCCATTTATATATTGAGGTCTTAAAGGTACCCAAGCAGAGACAGCCTGTATAAATTAAGTACATTATGAATGATTTTGGTGCACAAACAAATCCTGACATAATCATCTTTAGGGAAAAATAGTAAGGTACTACAAAAGAGTGATTTTTTTTTTTGCTCACTGAAAGCTTTAGGAACAAAGCGAATTGAAAATTGGTTTCTTGAACTAAGTTTTTACTCCCCTGTCATGGATAAATGTTGATAACATCAATCGACAGCGTTTACGCAGCACATTTTGAGAGCTTCAAAGATGTCCTAAAGGCAGGACAGCAGGGTGTGAGGGAAAGAGGCAGAATGATTCGTACCCACCTTCAGATAAAACTTTGATATGTCAAACAGTCTTTGACGGCAGGCTTCAAAGCACTTGTGCTCACTGCTGATCCCTTGTTTATTGAGC